CAAATCTCAAGCAAGTTTTATTGCAGTTTTGTAAGTTCCTTGTATTTTATCTTAATTTTTATATAAATGAATAATATATATGGAGCTATGTGCACTGTATTCAATGTCTCCAGATTTGTCCTTTTTACCAGTCAGGCTGGATTATGTAATAAAAGTTCAAATAAGTTCAACTGCACAATGAACTTTGCTTTCTTTTGCTTTCTTTTGTACAGAAAACAGTAACACTCTCTGAATTTTACTTACAGTCAAAATTATGTCACAGCTCAAACATCCAGTATCTTAATAAAATTTAGAATGTAACAGATAACTTATTACTACGCTTACTACTACTTTTAGGAAACAACATTCATCTGTGCCTCGTATCCACATTAATTTCATCTGCTGAATGTATATAGTGCATGAATAAGGTCCTGGCAATTATCTTGATCAGGATTTGATCATGGGAAAACGTAATAGTTCTTTTTGAAACTCTCTGAAAGACTGTCATACAAAAGACAAGCCAGAAATGTTAAGAGCTGTTCAAAGAAATAAATGGGCAAAGAAATAAAGGGTTTAAATTATAAGCAGGTAGATTCTGTGGGACACTAGGAAATGTTTAACAATAGACAGAATGCCTTGAGAAGTGGTTGACTCTCCTTTAACAGGGATATTTAAAAACAAAATGATGGTCCGATTGTCAGGTGCTAATAGATTACCAAATTTTGGAGAAAACATTGGACTTCAAGACCCTTTTTCATCCTTACAATGTCTTCTATGATTGCATAATTCTATTTTTAAATTAACAGAACCCCTTATCTTGTCCCATATCTGTATTTGGAAGAGAAGGGAACATTTTTATTTTTAATAATTTTAAAGTAATTAAAAATAAAATTATTTTACATAACATCTACAATTTGCACTATTTTCTGTGAAATGGGTATTTTGGAGATTGCAATTTATATTTCATAAATTTTCAAATTAAAATGACATTTGAGTGCCATCCTTAAAGCTTTCCACACAAAGGGAGGATACTATGTTCCTGCCGCAATTAATTTTTTTCTGGCCAAGTCGCTAGCACAGCTTCTTTATGGGATCTTGCTTGGACCCTCAGCTTCGTGTTTCACACCATTGGAAAAAGTTTCATCCAAATTTATTAGAGCAATTCTCCAGATCCCGGGTTGTGTGTCAAATGCACTTCTGCGCCTGGAGACAGGATTGACAAAAGTCGAACCAAGAATCTGTATAGTGTCTTTAAACCTCTGGCTAAAGTTTAACTTCTTTCCACAAGACCTTGCTCCATTAATCCTCCAAGAAATCCTCCAATTTTCCTCAGCAGGGATCAAGGCTGTCGAGTCCAACTTTGCCAAACTAGGCTTCTCCCCAGCCTCAAAGTCAAGTTGGACTATGACCAAGCAAAACAAACCTTGCGACAAAGGGCAGAGGACATCGAAAGGCAAACTGACTTAGGGAAAGCTCCATTGTTTTTGGCTCCAGACATGTTGTTACTCCTGCCAGCTATCTTAGCCAGTTAGAATGGGCAAACCATCAGAAAGCATTGCCGCTCACACCGTGTCATGCATCAGCAGTCCTGTACAGCAAATATAAAAAGATACCATTGACTGGAAAACTCTGTTCCTATGGCTCAGGAGAGGTGGAGACTGTTTGTCAGATACTCCGATGTTCCTTTTACAGAGAGATTAGAAAAAAAACCATATCCTTCCAATAATTGGTAAGGATCCTGGCTGTTCTGACACTCCTTTTCTCCAGTGACTGCTTAAGGATGAACAGTCCATAATTACAGTGCAGGTGGTTAGATTCTGTGCAGCAGCACTGGGGATTCGTGGAAAACGGGTGTCTAACCCACCGTAGCTATTTTATACAACAAATGTAGCAAGCTCTTTGCACTGCTTATTCCTTTCCCTTTTTGGTATTAAACTGACTACGGGTCAGAGTTTATGAATTGTAATTTTAGTATAGTTAGACCACGTGTAATTGACAAGACTGGATTTATCATAGACTTTATCTGTCATTTATTATTTTATTATAGAATTTTTAATTGTATATTTGCTGAGTGTTTTTATTTGTTCTGGTCTCTGACTGTAATAAACTGAATTGTAATATGTGTAGACAGTTTTCAGTAGTCATAACAAGAAGGCCAGAATAAGAAGACCAAGGGATCACATTTAGTCCCTAAAAGAGTGTCCTGTTTAAAAAAATCCTGTCAAGATGTTTCAAACATGGCCTTACACATGTGTTTCCTTCCAAAGTCCAGACAATTTTTTCTCCTGATAACATCTTTTTGATGTTTCAGTTATGGAGCTTATCAGTTTATCTCCTATCATATCAAATGTGGTGTTTGTATAATGCAATTACTTTGGATCATGGGGGCTATTGTTTCCAGCATTATTGAGAAAGAGACCTATTAAAAGGCTGGGAAACAATTTGGTCACATTAATCAGACCAATAAAAGGCCACTACCTGGAGCATTTATGATCATTTAAAGAGCTCTTTTACAGAAGAAACCTTAAAAATTGTTTCCCAGCAATACAATTAAACTGCTCTCCAGCTAAGAAAAAGAATGGCAGACACCAGATAGAAAAAACATGCTTGAGGCTGTTAGGTTTCATCAGATAAGAAAAGCTGGTTCTGCTGCATGTTCAATAATGAATTCTGACAAAAAATGTTAGATTTTGTAAAAGATTATTGAGAACTGATGGTCCTCAGCTAGATAGCTGCTACTTGAAAATAAGGATATATTTTTGAGTTTACAATTTACCATTTACAATTTACAATTTTCTTTTCTTTTTGAACATTTCCCCAAAGCTTGGTTTTGATTAGTGTTGGTGACACATTTACAGTGAAGATAGCAAAGCTTTAATAGAAGATATTCTACCATGATGTTAAAGGTCTTAATTCACTGGAAATGTTTTCAACAGCTAGACTAAGATTTTAAACTGAAGGGGCCAATGTGTCTTAATCATTGTGTTTTTCAAAGCAGTTCATGTTTCAGTTCCTGATGAAAGTTTTCCTTTTTTTCATTCTTGTAACACAACATCCTTCCAGTGGAGGGCAATGTATACCTTCAAGAATATATGTAAAGTTACCTTTAGATTTGTGTGTAATTCCTGCATCCTACCCTGCAGAATTTTTGCTTCCCCCCCCCCCCCCCAGCTTTTAAAAACTTTCCATGGAGCTTAGCTATTTTTCTTCTGACTTTTCTACTCCTCCAAATATATAAAGTAAATATAGCTTATTTCTCTTTTTAACACAGTCATGCATAAATGCGTACCTCTTTTATTTAAAATTGCATAAAAGTATCAACCAAATTTTTGATTGTAGGAAATTGGGAGTTAGTCTTCTATATCTTGATACTTACAAAATGCCCTTACACGAATTAGTAATCCCATTTGTAGAGCATCTTTAACCCAATCAGCATTAAATTAAACTAATTGTATTATCACTTAGTAGTCATTTGGATATTTTGTAAAAGCCATGTAGCATAATAAAAATAAACCAGCATGAGTGACATTTCAATATTATGGCTTGTATGTTCATTAGATCTCATAAGCTATTTGAATTAGTTCTAATTGTTTTCTTCTTGAAATTGGATTTGAAAAGATAGAAGTATACATACAATCAGTTAATAGGTGAACAGAAGTTGTTAATTCCAGAGGAAGGGCTTGGACTGCCAGCCTTGAATTGCAATTGCAAGAAAGATTTCAACATAGCAGCACCAACAGCTGCACGTATATATGCCCAACAATCATAATTAAGTGAAATGGAATTAGGAGATATAGTACCTATCAGTTAATTGGTGCTCTCCAAGCTTGCTTGTTTTCTTGCAGACCCAAAGTAGATAATTCTACAGCTATATAAGCTATTAAAGTGCTAGCTTATATACCTGTAGAAATACAATCACTTACTGGCTTTTCATTTCCTTATCCTCACTTCAGAACTGTATTCTGTAGCTACTCCTGATACTAAACTACAATTCCCATCTCCCTTGACCGTTGGCCATAATGAGTGGAAGAGATGGGATTTAGAATATAGTAGTATCTAGAGGTCTACTATAGTTTGGCTCTCTAGTCAACTTGAGTAATTTATCCAATCCATTGAAATTAAGCCCCTAACAATCTATAACACAGAAGTTTACAGTAGATTGAAAACTCACTAAGGAGTAATCTAGATATCAGTGCTATCAATTCAAAATTAAGGCCATTGTAAAATATATGAAGCATCTTTGAATTAACAAGCAGGAAAGAAAATAGTTCAGGAATACATATAATTACCACAAGTATTCTTCTGTAAGGATATCCTACTATGCCCTATAAACCCTGTACTCTTTAAGAGTCTTTCTCCCAATCCTTATCTGAAAATAGGGAGAAAAATTTAGGCTATACATAAATCATCATCCAAGTGAGGTGTGATCTTAAATATACATAGCTAAAAAATGTAATGTCTCTTTCAAATCCAGGTTAACTCTTTGTAACTTCATGGACATTGTTTTCTTGGCATCAGTATAGAATTAGTCTGCGAATCTTCTTATCTAGCATAGAAAGAAATAAGACTATTCTATGATAACTGAAATATGCTATCCATCTCTTCAAATAAGATTTGATGAACAAATCAAATTAACTCAAATAAACACTAGAAAAGGGAGATTGCACAAACTTCTTTTCAATTAATAGCTTCCTCCCACATTTTACATAAATAGTTCTGTATCTCAAAACACAAATATATTCTTCCTGCAGTAATGTACAATACTTACCCTACTACAAACAAAAATATGTATATATCTGATCAAGAGCTGTTATGCCTTTCCTATGTTCACTTTTACAAAAACTACCCTACCTATACCACTGTTCGTACATATGTAATTGGATGATTGGTCTCCAGCTGTTGTCTTTAAAACCTATGTAAAGCATTTTATTCATCAAATATATTATGCATGGGGGAAGGGAGAGAGGAAGAGATGGTACAGAAATGCATCACAGTGACATCATTATAATTCTTCTCCTTTATTATCATTTGTCAATTTGAAAAAGGAGCTGGGAGTCACAAGTTACGCTAATTGGCACATTTGCTTTATTTTATTTTATTAAACAAACTGGGCTTGTATTCTCATTCTGTGTTTTTCCCTTTTCTCTCTCTTTTTTTTTGTTTTTTGTTTTTTGCTTTGTTTGTTGTGTCTCCTGTAGTTCATTCCATCATCACATTGAAATGGGGAGAAAAGAAAAATGTTTGTTCTTTTTTTTTTTCCCTCTCTTAACTCACTCAATAGATTTGGACTCCTCAGAGGAACATAACATTGCACACACACTTGGAATAGAGAAAAGGGGAGGCAAGAGAAAGAGCGCACTCGTGGTGGGCAGACAAACACACACACACGCGCAGATCAAACAATTCTGATACAGTGCAAGAATTTTCCCAAAATGATTGAGTCATCATTACCAAAAAACTCGCCATAACAACACCAAGAAACAAAATGTTTAAGCCACACTGTTTGACTGGGATTTTTCCTGCTTTTTTTTTTCTTTAAATGTTTGCCACACAGAGAGAATAGAGGTGGAAGGGTCAGAAAGGGACGAGGACAGACAGATTTACAGGTGAAAGAGGGAAAAGATTGAAACTAGGAAGGGAGGGAAGATACAGGAAAAAGGAGGGAGGGAAGGGCAAGAGGAAGTCATTTCTTAATGTTCAGGCATTTTCTTGGTCCGCCTTGCTCTCCTCTTCTTTTGCTTCTTCTTGCAGGGCACTTTCAGAAGGTTTGGTTTCTTCTACAGCATCTAAGAAGTATAAATAAATAAAATTGTCAAGGAAGTATATGAATGGAATTTAGTAGTTTTGTTATTTTTTTAAAAATGGGAAACTTTTTGCAGAGTACAAAATAAACGGTGTCTTAACAGCATTGCTTTTGTGATCACTAAACTGAGCCGAAGACAAATTGCAGGTCTTTTTTTATATGTTGGGTGAGTGGAGAAAAGGTTTGAAGGACAAAGTGGGAGTATGAAACCTTGGTCACAATCAAGGTATAATTTCTTTTACTCAGAAAGCTTAATATCACTTTCAAACAATATTTGCAGTAATGCCTAACTGTTCTGACCCAACCGGGTTTCCAAAGAGCAACCACAGACAAAAGCAGCAGCCCCCACCTTTTAAGGTTTAATAACGAATTCTGTTCCTTTACAGATAAAAGGCTGCTTTCCACTAATTAGCTCCAACAAGAAAGAACCTTGCCAAGTTGTTCGTCAATGCTGCCAAAAACCCAGAGATAAGAATTAATTTATAAGATTCTCCAAACATGAACTAAAATGTCCACAAGCTGAGCTTCAGAGCTTCTTTGCTTTCTGCAAAGAATGCTTTTTCAAACCTGGCTATTATCCTCTTGAGGGAGGGGCCATTACCTTGCAGCCTTACTCCAGTCACCTGTGCTGTTGTAATTGTTCTTTCCTCTGAGTAATCCTTCATGCATGTGCACTTGGCACAGGCTCCTCAGGAGCCTCCTCATCACTGCTGCCAGCCCCCACAATCTCTGAAGGCAGCAGTCCACTCCCTGATGGTCCTGGCCCCTCATCAGAATCCTCACTCTCCTCAGCCATCTGCTCCTGTTGCTGTCCAACCACAACACTAACCTAGTGCAGCCCCAATATTGCCTATAAAAGGATGCAACCTTTAACCTAATGGAAGCTGTTGAACCCCATTGTTATCTGGAAACTGAAAAATTACTTGGGCTTTCAAATTTTCACCATTGGCATTTAAGTTCCATTTTACCTTGCTTGATTGGGTCTCTTCCTGCTCTTTTTTTTCCATACAAAGAGTCACGTATCTGTAAATTATTGCTTCCAGAGAAATTATCCTGCATTTCTTTCCAGTTATCAATATGATGGATGGGAACAAAGATTTAGAAAAGATAAATCTCCCAGATATATGGATTCCTGCACAGATACTTCCAGTCAATGTCGGATGGACTAATGGAATGTCTCAGATAAATCTAATTTAGTTCTTCTCTTTTATGCTTATCTGTTTTGCAAAAAACCATGAAACCAGGATAATTTTTATACTAAATTAATTACATTTCAGATATTAAAATTTAAGGGAATGAGAGGTAAGCCTTTTCAAATAATTTTTTCAATTAGCATATAATTTTCTGGGGTAAATACATTTTTCTGGGGAAAAATATAAGAAAAATAAAGAGAAAAATAACCTGGATAATGTATTCTGAATTCGAAAAATCTTATCAGTTCAATGAATTCGAATTGAGAAGAAATCTGTGAACTAAGGGACTTCATTTGTTCCAGCTCAGTTAGATTGTCTTAAATTCTATATGAAATCCATTTGGAGCATATACTCAGTTTTTGAATGTTTATATTTTTACTAAATTTAGCCTCCCTAAATTTCACTTTGGAAATAATAGTATATGATACTAGCCTATAAAAACTATTTGAAATATGTTCCACCGTAGACATCCCCAAAACATCTGTTCTGCATTGCTTAATATACAATTTTAATATATGAAGCTGTCTGTAAATAAATTAAAAGGACTTTTATTTCTGTTCTTTTATTGTTTTATTCATTTCCCCTCTAAATATCTCAACAATCTACATTTATTTTAAGAGAACATTTCTGCTTATTTGCTTCTAACTGTTGAAACATCTATACTCAGAGCACTATCAAAACTGTATTAAGCATAGCACAAGTAAAATTCTACACAGCTGTTATACTTTCAAGTATAAAAAATTTAAAGGGGAATTCTAAATGCTGATAATCTCTCTTCAACATATGTGGGTCGCTATATAAAGCAGACCTTGAGTAGATATAAACTAGCACAGCTTCTTAAGAATGTCTATTTCTTCCGCACTATGTGGTTCTTTTGAAAGGCAAGGTTATTGTGGATAAGCATTTATTAGTAAATGAATCACAGCTATGAATATAAATGTGGGTGTTTGAAAACCAAGATGGGCAATTTTGTTTCCAGAAAGGGCAGCTTTCTCAATTGACTTTAACCGCATTATATGTTAATGGTTTATAGGCTCCGCTTCAAGTGCTTCTACTGTCTTACACTGCTGAAATTAGGTTGAATGGATTTCCGGGTAAAAGACAGTCTCCTGGGATCTGCCCAGTTCTTTTTGTCTTCCTTGGTTTAATTAAATTGGAGTAGACAACGACACACTGCCTTTGTTACATTTCCTTTCTTTCTTTTTGAAGGCCGATGGCTTTTGGCCTTGGCTTTACATTTATGGTGACTTTAGAATGATTAAACATAATGGAAATACATAAAAAAATAAAATAAAAATCATATGTAGCTCTATGGACTCAGCATAATAGGAAGCTTTGTTTGTAAATTGTTTTCGCTTTTACAGCTGACATCAATAATTCAAAACAACTATAACAATTTCTTTAACATTCAGCATCAACTTCCTGATTGGTATATCTCTCCCTTGTCCATTATTCAGATTATCAAGAAAACTCACTTTCTCTATTTGCACTTAGAATCTGCACTTGGTTTCTAAGAAAATCTTTTGCTCAGCATTTGACCATGCAAGTGTCTTATAAAGATGTGTTGCTTTTCGCTATGAGTAGTTAAACAAGAGTTTTGCCCCAGACAGACAGGTCTGTTACTCCTATTGGAAAAAGAAAGCAGACCTATTACTTATTCATTTAAATGTATATTTCTTCCTCAGACAGGATACAGTACATGTTCTGGCAAGACCACTATAGACAAACATTAATGCAAAACCACTTTTAAGTAGAGAAATAATTTAATAATGTATTAAACTTTTATAAATGTGTTACACCGGTACATAACATCCCAATTTAGCTCAATTATTTCTTGCAAAGATGGTTTAAGCAATTCCATAAGCAAAACCTGCCTTGCACATTCTCTGTTCCTCCCTGCCCTCCCCCCAAAAGAAAGAAGTTATTTCGGAGTGCTTGAGAATTCTCTTAGCATGGTATTTCTGCTTATTTTTAATTGGAAAGAGGAAGATCATGCTGTGCTAGAGGTGTTATCCAACCTTCCATCAATCTGAACACCTCCTAGCTTATTGCACATTCCAATTGGGTAAAACATATCCTGTAACAGGAAGAGTTTCCCCATAATCTTTCCATGAGATACATATGAATTATAGAAAGCCAGGGAGGCTATAGACTGCTGGAATGATGAGTGTTCAATAAAAGACATGATATTCCTCTACCTTTCTTCATCTTCAGTCAGCTTGTAATTAAGTGAGCATTTTTCTTCGTACTACAATGTGCACGCATGCACTGCACAAACACAAACCTTTCATAAATATCTTATACTTTCAAAAAAATTTCAAAATCAAATTCTATTTACATCAAACTGTGGTACTAAAGGAAAAATAAACCTGACTGGCACTAATTATAACAGCTAATTCCCTGGCCAAATGAAACCTCCTAAGTTGCACATTCCATAGGGAGGCAGAGCATTTCAAAAATGCCCTGGAAAAAGGTCTTATCCCTCCACCTCATTTTTTTTGTAAATTTTTTTTATTTTTTTACAACAAACATAAACATAAAACAACATATAAAACCTTCTTTCAATTGTACAGTGTGTCAGTTGGTACATGTTTCTTGGGCATAATATCTATAGTCTTTCCCTCAGATTTAAATTTATATTCAAATTATATTAATCAATTTTCCATGTCATGTTATGTTATTATTACATCATCATTAGACTTTAGTCACAAGTTTGCATTATCCTTGTAGATCAAATCTGAGTTTTTACTAATTCTAATTCATATTATAATTCATTCCATAATAATCAATTATAACCTATCATTACTATTGTATTATATTTCCTCCACCTCATCTTAAATATTGCCTATTTTGCAAAAAATTCTGAAGTTGGGAGGGTAGATAGAAAAATATGAGGGTGATGTCATTCATTCAGATATTCTGAACTTATTTATTATATTTTTATGCCTATTTTATAAAAAACTAATTCTTATATAATCTCCATAAATGTATTGTTTTACCATTTTTTCATGTATAAATTTATGTGTCCTGCATTTTTATGTGTCCTGCACTATATTTATGTGTCCTGCATAATGGAAAAGGTTTTAAAACTCTAAAACAAAGATGTGGAATGATGGCCCTTTATGACTTGTAGACTTCAACTCCCAGAATTCCTGAGCCTGACTGGCTCAGGAATTCTGGGAACTGAAGTCCACAATTGATTAAAAAAAAAAACATCATTCCCCACCCTTGCTCTGAAAGCTACACAACAAATTATTCTCACATATTTGCATGAGGTCATGGCACTGTAAGAATTATTACAGATTGCTAAAAAAAAAAAGATAAGCTGGTGTGAATGCATGAGAAGAATGTTAGATTAATGCTAATATGATAATCTTGGGCAAAGTATATAAACTTATCTACTGAAGTGTGAGAACATTTCAACATCCCACAATGGAAGAAGAACAAATTTAATGGATTGCATCACAAACTTGAAACCATAGTGGATTTGTAGAGCTGCCAATTGTTGGAAAATAATTTTTCTGTTCATACAAAACCCCTGTACAGACATCATTGGAAAACTAATTTTATTTATTTATGGTTTGTACCATTTTATATGTCTTACATCTTAGCATTGCAGAAGATGCTGGGGCCATTTTCCCATAATAGAAATTGCTAACTCATCCTACCTTTTAAATTAATGTGGGAGGAAAATTCCCTCTCCCCTTTTCCAGGTATTGGGAAAAGTTCTCACTTGTAAAAAAAAAGCTGTTATTCTTTTAAAAACACAGGTTATAAGAGGTCTGTAATA